TTCATGCTGAAGTCAAAGAATTCTCTCATGTTTCCTTCTGGGATTAATCATATATATATATGATTACAAATATACATATATAATTTATATATATATGATTACAAATATACATATATATATATGATTACAAATATACATATATAATTTTTTTTTTTCACATTTCAATCTTATTCATTTGGAATCATGAGATAAAGTGGTTTTGTATGAATACATGAATTAGCTAGCTACATTGCCCTGAATTCGTCAATTATGTAGCTACCTGATTTATTCTACATAAATTACGATCATCATTTAAAAAGGTGCCTTCACTTACTTATAAAACAAAGACTTTATGTCCTTAAAGGATACACAAAACTAGCTCTATGAAGTAGGCTACAGTTACCTTTTGGGGAAAAAAACTATGCTCATCTACTAAAGTAATTATGAGAAGGAAGAAATTTTCTTTCTACTAAATTAAGATATTGTGTTATGCAATTTCAAGTAAGTATGAGTTTTTCCAAAATAAACATCAGTAAAGAGGTGCAAAAACACCTTATATTGTTTTTTCTTTCCAACAAAAATACCAAATCTAATTCAAAACATAAACTGCTATTTTACTTTTTTCTAAGAGCTTATAAATCTAAAATATTCAAATTATATGCTCTTATTTTTCTTAGCTATATTACTATGTATTTAATTTTTAATTTAATTTTTGAAATTTGCTTCCATTTTTTTTCTAGTTGTTCTAAGTTTCAGAAATCCAAATAGGAAATTTATTTGCTCATGTAACCAGACAGCATAAACCCCAGTGCAGACTGTCAGAGCCCTGGATTCAACAACTCAGTGTTCCCCCACTCTGTCGCCCTCTTGCCTGTGTCCCTTCAATGACTGCATTCTCTCAGGTGCCTCCACATGTCAGGGGATGTGGCCTCAGACAACAGAGCCTTGTAATGTTTAATTTATAATCTAAAGCTAGACCCTGGTAATTTACAATTGCCCTGAGGGAGAAACAAACAACGAAATAAGTAAATAAAAGCCACTTCTCTTCAATATGAGGATTGAAAAGTCTCTGGGAAGAGCTCCAATTGGCTCAGTTATGACCAAGGAGGCTGATCACTCCTGACAACAACCATAAAATCACCTAAATTGGAAGAGCTGCAGTTCTCATTCAAGAAGAGCACTGATTTTGAAGAATGGGAACANCAATTGCCCTGAGGGAGAAACAAACAACGAAATAAGTAAATAAAAGCCACTTCTCTTCAATATGAGGATTGAAAAGTCTCTGGGAAGAGCTCCAATTGGCTCAGTTATGACCAAGGAGGCTGATCACTCCTGACAACAACCATAAAATCACCTAAATTGGAAGAGCTGCAGTTCTCATTCAAGAAGAGCACTGATTTTGAAGAATGGGAACAGGATCCTGAGAAGCCAAAATCACTGCAAGAATAGCCACTGAGAATTTCTACAAAATTTAAAACCCAATAATATTAAAATTCAAGTAACTCATATATATGAAAGGATGACTAGAAACAGTAATCTTATTAAGGGGCTAGGGAATATCCACCACATCCTGTAAAATAATAGCTTATCTTTAGCACTCTGTGATCTTATGTCTACCGTGAAGTTAACATAGTAAGAGTGTACAACATAGCAGTTAAAAATGCAGACCTCACTGAGTCCCAGCTCTACACTTTTGGATAAGTTAGGCAACCTCTTTAGACTTCAACTTCCTCATCTGTGCTATGGGATAAAAATAAAATCTGACTCATAGGGTCATTGTGAATATTAACAGGATACCTTTAGGAATAGAGTAACGTTCCATGTTAGCTATTATTACCTATTGAATAAAAAAGCAGAATCCAATTTCTTTTTTTTTTGGATGGCTGGTATGAGGATACGAACCCTTGACTTTGGTGTTACAAGGTTGTGCTCTAACCAACTGAGCTAACTGGCCAGCCCCAGAATCTGATTTTTAATAAACCCACTGAGCAATTTAATATTGTTTCACACCAGCTCTAGGTACAAAAAGTATTGGAATAGTAGGATTATTCTAATCCTTTAGGTACTATTTTTGTTTGGGAAAACTTTTTTGACAGCATATTGAAAATAATTCAACATGGAGAAAAAAAGAACAACCAGGATGACCAACTGTTTTGATAGTATTATAATAGAAAAGTT